TACCTGCAGCTCAGTGGTGTGACATTCCACTATAGCCCAGAGCTCTCCAAGGAGATGGATGACAATGGACAGTGCCATTCCAGTGATGCCAGCAACAGCCAGATCTTAGTGCCTTCTTTAACCCAGTTTTATCATGTCAGCACCAAAACACGTCACCCAGCCAGAAAACCTGCCTGTCCCCACAGATCAGTGACTGAGACAGCACGTGAGGCAGCAGCTGTGGGAGCAGGAGAACAAAATTATCCTCATCATCTCAATTATTTTCCAGGCACATATTTCATCTGCTCAAGGTTATGGTGTGAAGTGTCCTCCCAGCGCTGGGTATGTCTGGGCACGTGCAGCTCCCAAGGCAGGGGCGCAGGAACCAGATCAGCTCCTCACACTCACCTTGCCGAGCAAAGCCCGGTGCGGGCGCTGCACCGTGTTTGCTTTCATGGAGGTGCTGGCAGAGGACGTGCCCTTGAAACGTGCAGATAAGATACTGATGATGGGGAGCAATTCCACTTGCTATTAAAAACATCCAGTGACTGGAGAGCTCCTCATCTGATACCTGCTGCAAGGGCACGCCAGGCGCCGCGGCAGCCTTGGGATGTCCTGCAGGCACTGCACCTGTGCCAGGCACTGCGGCAGCTCCAGGGGGGCCCATGGGCATCCCTGGCTGCTCCAGGCACCACAGCAGCCTCAGGGGATCACACGAGCATTGCTGCCCACTCTGCCCATGCCCAGCCACACATCAGCTTCCCGGGGTCAGCATTGAAATGCATGTCCCCCCACAGCACTCTCCTTTCCAATCCTGCTTCTCAGAGAGCAGAGGTCCCTTTCCATGCAAAAATCAGAAATGGCTCCCCCAGAAACCAATAATGATTCCCAGTCAACTGATCTGGTCTTGTTTGTTCCTCTCCCGTTTGGGTCCATTTGCTGTCCCCATCCCGTGGCAGGACACAGGAGGACCAGGGGCTCTGCAATCCATTCATGTGCCTGTTTATATTCACTTGGCTTCTGAGATATGGTTTGGAACCGTAAAAATATGTTATTTACTGTACAATTAAATATTTGTTTTCTAGTGGCTTGGACTTGGGTGAACTGCAGTTTCTACAATACCCTTTAAGCATGACTTACTATCTTCCTCACTGCCTTCCGTTTTTTACCATTAATACCCTCACTCTCCATTCCTTTAGTGGCTGCAGTGAGCTTTGCTGGGGACTTTACGTAGTAAAAACTGAAACAAAAAATTCTCAAAGGAACAAATGCAAAGATTTAAAAGATTACTTTGCAATTGAATCCATCTCTCCTAATTTGATCTGCAGGAAGTGCAGTGACAAACTGAATACAGAATATTTTTTAATTAATCAAGAGTACTTCCCCTGCACGTACATTGGCCCAGCCCAGGCACCCAATTACTGTATTTTTAATGATGACAGTGCCGTGACATATTCGAGTGGACTGTCACAGCCTCTGCCTGTGGATTATCTGCTTCACCAGCACTTCCCACGGCGCTGTGTTTAGCTCTGGATGGCTGTTGTTTCCAGCAGGAGCCTGGCAGGGCAGGGCTCAGTTTCCGCCAGCCGAGCTCTGCCCTGGGCTCCCATGTCCCTGGCAGTGTGTGACACGTTGTTCCATGGGGATAAGCTCAGCTCAGTGCTTCTGTCAGGTTGTCCATGTTTGATCCATGGTGTGGTTTTTGGAGTTGTCCTGTGGAGGGCCAGGAATTGGACTTGATGATCCTTGTGAATCCCTTCCAGCTCAGGTTCTTCCACGATTTTATGATCCAGGTGACTCCTAATTTTGCTGTTTTCTGGATAAAAATCTCTTAAATGCAATTCAGTGTAAAAACCCAAATTATTTCCTTCACTTCTTCTAGAAGTGGGCAAGTTCCCCATTCATTTGATACTTCACAGCTGGACCCTGACCATTCCATTTCCCTGTGCATCCGGGGGCCACAGTGCGGTCAGACCCCCCAGCCAGGCCAGACGCCCCCCACACTACACAGCCCCATACTCAGCACCCAGGACAAGGCCAAACTGCAATTTTCTGGGTTAATTGCCAGGATGCCAGTGCAGGGGAGAGACAGAGATTCCTTTGTGCCGGCTCCAAGTGCCTCTGTTCCAGGAGAACGGCTTATAACCGACCTTGCTTTGTGTGCCCAGCCCTGGCTTGACGCTGTTTGCACAAGTGGCTGGGCTGACAAAGACAAAATCAGGAATTCTTGGAGATTTTGGGCAGTGAGGTATCTCCTGGAGCAGCTCTCAGACACAGAAGTCCCAGTTTTCATCAAGGGTTCAGATCAGAAAATCCAATGCTGCAATGAGCAGAGCTGACATTCCTGGGAGAGCTGACGCTCCGGGGTCCTGGGCTGCCCTCCTTGCCCTCCCCTCACGCAGTGAGGGAGCAAAAACCTTCTGATGCAGCAAGGCAAAGAAAGTTCCACCAGTGGCACACACTGGGAGAGCTGAGATCCTTCAAGTCCATCCATCTCTGTGACCTCAGTCCTGCCAGGTCCAGCCCCGCAGTGCCAGCATCCACTGGGCTTCATCCTGCTCATGCCAAAATGAGGAGAAAAAAGTCTGTTTCCATTGTCAAGCACATGGGAAATCAAATGAAAGCCCAGCACCGCACAAGGACCAGCCAGGACAGCTCTGAGGGGGCCCTACACAGAAGGGACTTTCCCACCTTTCCTTCCGAGCCACCACTGCCGGTGACAGACACCGCCCTGGCTCACGGAGCCAGTTCTTTCCCAAGTGGGAAGAAAACTGCCTTGGCTTGGCTTCCAGGAAAGCAGGGGCAACTACAAAAGCTGTGGAAACCACACAACAATCAGAGGAAAGAGGAAAGTGATGCTGATGAGCAGATACTGGCTCTGAGCCTCACCTTGGTGGGGGCTGGGAACAACAACAGCTATGGCAAAGGGTGGATGAAGGAGCAGCAGAGATGCACCACTTCCTGCTCAGAGGAATTACCTGGGTGGCAGCAGCTCCCAAAGTCAGGAAGGTTAAAGGCAGCCAGAGGTGGATAACCTGAGCCCAAGGAGCCTCCTGGGCAGTCCGTGGTTTTAAATATGGATATAAATATAGATTTGTGTTAATATACGTGACACAGGTTGCCCAGAGACGCTGCAGCTGCACCATCCCTGGAAGTATTCAAGGCCAAGTTGGACAGGGCCTGGAGAAACCTGGTCTGGTGGAAGGTCTCCCTGCCCAGGGGTGTGGGACTAGACAAGCTTTGTGGTCCCTTCCAACCCAAATCATTCCATGATTTCTATGATTCTATATTTTGCAAGGCTGGGATGAGGGAATAGCAAGCATGCTGGTGGGTTCTTGGCAGGTCTCAGGAAAAAGCTGTGTCAGTGGATTGATGCTGTTCATGATGGAGCAGGAACTGCAGGGAAGAAACATCATCGGGAAGCAGGGGAAAAGGACAAATGATTTCTGTCAAGCTAACTTGATCTATTTTTAGATAAAACTGTAATTAAGTCAGTACTTGATAACAGTAGGACTTTTAAGGTAATAGGGCTTCTGTTAGGTATCTAAATACGACATGGCACATATTAAATGAATCAGGAGATGTCTGTTGTCTCTGGAATGTAATTACAAGAGAAGAGGCCTCATTTGGTTAGTGTATCCAGGAGAGTCCTTTGGGAATCAGCTCTTGACTCTGAACTAGTGCTGAGGGGAGTAAACAATGTTCGTTTCAATTTGTTAAAATACAAAGGCTGGGAGTCATTCCTCAGGATGGGGTGCTCCCTCCTGGGAAACAGTGACTGGGAAAGACCAAAAGGATCCTGGTGAAGGAGCTGGGACTGAGAGCAATGTGCAAGACCATGGCAAAGACAAACAAAATTACAGTCCTGTGTGTCTGGCTGGGTAAGTGACAGGTTCTGGCAGAGATCAGGCAGAGCAAGAGGATCTTAATGAGGAGCTCCTGCCTTGCTTACAGGGGCAGAGCCTCATCCCCACCTGTGCTCATGCAGGAAGCAAAACCAAGCCTGTAGCACCCGCAGTGGCTTTTGGAAGACAGCACAGGTAACCTGGGCCCCAGGTCCGGAGGTGAGTGCGCTGCCAGCTGTGCACAGGGCCAGCCGTACCTGAGGTGGATGCACCACAAGATGAGTACATGGGTGTGACACCAGGTGCCAGATGTGCACAGTGCCAGATGTACCAGAGGGGGGTGCACTGCCAGCTGTGCATGTGGATGTGACACCAAATGTGCACAGTGCCAGATGTACCTGCTGCCACTCGGCCAGAACTGCCAGCTTTGCTGCCACCCAGATATGCCCCAGCTGTGGATGCTGCACCTAAACGAGCTTCAGATGCCCCATGGCTGCCAGTTGTGCCACAGCCAACACAGCTGTGCCAGGGCCCCAGCTGTGCCCCAGCTCCAGACATGCCCCCTCGGCAGTGCCATTGCCCCCTCTCCCCTTTGCCCTGTGCCCCAGATGTGCCACATCCCCCAGCGGTGCCCCATTCAGCTGTGCCTTACCCCCAGCGGTGCCCGCCTCCCCATCCAGCTGTGTCCAGATGCTCCAGCTGCGGCCCCGCTGCGCCCTCTGGCGGCCCCGACGCCTCCCTGCACCTCCCTCTTCTTCAGGGTTTTCCCTTCTCAGTCATTTTATTCATCTTTTCCTTTGCTAAAACCTCTGTTACTTTTATAAAGTAATTGGTTTCCCCCGGAGCCCTCCCTAGAGATTGTTCCAAAGGGGTAAACTGGCTTCTTAGGAGTTAATGGTTATCAAAATTCACCTCATTATTATAAATACCATAATTTGCAGCAAGTGCAACAGAAAAACTTTGGTGGGGTTCATGGTGAAAGTTCCCATTCCCCCTAAAAGAGAAGAGAGCATTTAATAGGTGTCAGAGAGGAATTCCTTATTAAGTCCCTATGTGACCTAAAACTGCTTAATGGGCAGCAGTAACAAGAAAACAATTATATATATTCTTACATATAAATAATATATTTTCATTTTATAGTTTTATATATATTTAATGTACATTTTATGTATTTATTATATTTTATATATAGAATATTAAAAAAAAGAGACTGGGAAACAGGCTGAAAAAAATGGGCCTCAAATTTTTGAACCTGAATTTTTCCACTCATGTAACACACCTCTGGAATAACCCATTTCTCTGTAACACAAATCACACTGACCTCTGACTGAAGTCTCACATGGTGGGTCCTGTACTTCGCCTGTCCCGTGCTGCCATGTGCCACCTGCCCACAGTGCTGTGGAGTCAGTGCTGAAACCCTCTTCTTTCATAGCTGAACTGGGGAGGCTGGGGAGAGGGAAATTCAGGTTTCTCTGAGACTCATCAACGAGTTTCAGTCATGCAAAGACCCAATTTAGGCAGCCAAACGTGCCGTGACAGCACCCACTCCTCCCACCATCCACCGTGAAAGGGCACAGATGTGTCTGCAGTGACACCTGCACGTGGGGACAGCAAGAGCCAGTGTCACATCCCAGACATCCATGTTCTGCCCCACTCCTGCCCATGCAGGGGTCACTCCTGCATCCCCTGAGCCACAGAGCCAGGCTGCCCTTCCCCAGCACCCCACTGGCCCCCCTCAACTTCATTCGTGGGGCTGAAAGACATAAATGGGATTAAAATTGTCAGTCCTGACAGTGCTGAGCGTTTGACACCAGGATGTGCCCAAGGATGTCCCCAGCAGAGCCCCTAGGGCAGGGACAGGCAGGACACAGCACAGACCCCCAGAGTTCCCCCCCTCACCCATGTCCCCACCTGTCCATCTCCTCCAGGCGCTGGTGGGATGCTCCCAGCCAGAAGGAGGGGAATGATGGGCAGCACACAGAGTCAGGGCTTTCAGTGGTTCATTCCAAGGCTGCTAAAAGCTCCAAGCATATTTTTAATGCATTTATCTCCCATCAGCTTCCTGCCAGGCTGGTCTGGGGGGGAAACGGGCAGAAAGAGGCAAATGGTGCTGGGGAGACTCCGACTCTGCAGCTGAGCCAGTGCCAGTGAGAACCCTGGTCCCAAAGGGCAGGGGGAGGCCATGGGATGGAGGGGTGACCAGGCACGGTGTGCTCACCACAGCCTGCTTCCATCACCCCTCGGCTGCACAGAGCAGAACACAACAGAAAGGGCTCTGCAGCAAGAGAGGGAAAGGGCTGGAAGCAGGCACGGACCAAGAGCCGGTGGCAGGGTTTCACCCCGTCCGCAAGCAGACAGGCAGAGGTCCTGGAGGGCCTCCGGGAAAGGGGGAGGCTGGATTCAATCCTTGTCTTTCACCTGGGCTGGAGTCCAGCCCCAAAATAGCTGTCCAAAAACAAGATCACATGAGAGGAAAAAAATAGCAAGGCGAAGGATTATCCATACTTCCTTGTCCTATGTGGGTGCAGAGCGGCAGCCGGCACTGCCAGCCACGGTGTCGCTCTGGTGTCTGCCGGCCAACACCAGCCACTGCCCAGGACCTGGCACATTCCCGGTGCCTGTGCCCATCTGAGGGACCCTGCCTTTCTCTGGGACACCCGTGAGTGCTGCGAGGGGTGTGGGTACGATTGCTGTGGGAGCTGCTGGCTCTGGGAAGCGGGGCAAGGGGCAGGGTGACCCCAGCTTCCCAGCCGCCCCTGCCACCCAGCCCTGCACACTCCGACTGACCCTCAGGTGAGTGCCTCTTCCAGCATTCCCCATTTCCCCTGGCAGAGCACCCTGCAGAGCCACAGCCTCCCAGGGGCTTTGGAGCCCCTTCCTAAAGAGTCTACACCGCACGGTCCTGGTTCCGGAACTCCTGGCCAAGCTCACCAGCTCGGCCACACGTGTGGCACTGGGGAACAACTGGGGTTTCCTTTTCCTCCCTCCAGCTCTGGCAGGAGTGGCTTTCTACCATTGTGAAGTACCCAGCTTGTACTGGGCTGAGCAGTGCTCACTGAGTCTTTCCAGGAATACCACTCCAAAAGGGATGGAACCAAAGCCGAAGGCTGGGGGATCTTATGGATCTCATTTTAAATATGCAGGACGTTTCGCCTAAGTTGTCTTTGCTGCAGGACCATGGTTTGTGGGGATAAGGAGCTGCTGGGGCAGCAGGTGCTGGGGCTCAGCTGCCCACACACGCACTGCCTGCGTGAGCTGGTGCCAGGCAGAGAGAAGCACCTACAGCTTCCTCGGGGCTCCATAGTTAATTATTCACTGTGCTTCCGAACAACCCCAGGAAGTGTGGATTATTTATGGGACTCAGAGCCGAGGAGACTGGTGGGCATTTGAGGCAGTGAGGTAAAGAGGTTCCTTACCCCAGACAGAGGCAGGAGCAGGAGAGGAACAGGAGCAGCAGCCAGCCACCAAAATCCATCCCAAGAGCCTGGGAAATACCATGGGTACCTGCTGCAGCTGGGGCTGCCCAGGCAGGGCCAGACTGGGAAGGGCAGAGGGAGGCAGAGCTGCTGCCATGGCAGTGCCCCGCAGTACCACCCATCCCCTCAGTGTCCCCATCACTGCAGTGCCCCCCGTTTCCATAGTGACCCCATCCCTGCATTGTCTCCCATCCCTCCAGCTCTCAGTGCAGGGCCTGGGGTCACTGCAGTACTGTCGGTGTCTGGATTTTGGCCAAGTCTCCTCTCCCCTTGTGCCTGGTGCAGATCCCACTGCCCAAGCCCGTGTTTGCTCCGCGTCCATACCTCACTCTGGCTGTTGGCTCCGTCCCGGGGCCGTCTGCCTTCAGGACAGGCAGAAAGGACACCATTTGGCAGGACACCATCTGCAGCGCTCCATGCCCTGCGTCACACCAGGGCTGCTGAATGCCAACCAAAACCAGGGTGCAAGGGGGACCAGGCAAGTGGGGAAGGCTGGGTTGCAGGGAGGGGCCAGTCTCCCTGCAGCTCCAAAACAAGGGGAGGTGATCCCTTGAGTAAGAAGGAGCAGCATTTCCTAATCTTCCTCATATACTCAAAACCCCAGTGCCTTTCATCCAGGACAGCCAGAGGCAAAGCCAGGACTGCCATTCTGTGAGATTCAAGAATGTTTGGCTATAACTTTTTTTATTTCCTGAAATAGCAGGAGGAATGTGTGGGATTGTTCAAACTGGAAAAAAAAAGGAATAGTGCTATAGCAGGAAAGGCCATAGAGTCCACCTGTGCTGTGGGGTGCATTAGGAGCCATCTGCACCAGCCACTGGTAACCACAGTCAACTCGGGAATGTTTTATCCAAACGTCTGGGCTCACAACATTTCCAGCCCGGAATGCCTGTCCAAACACACTGGCTCCACGTGAGCTGGGACTAAAAGCCTATTCTGGGCGAGCCTTAGATAACACAGCCTAAACACCACATCAAAGTGCTCATGGAGCCCAGCCAAGCGCTGAAGTCATCGCTCGGGCTTCATTAGCCCTGCAGCAGCAGCAAACACGCAGCGACCCGCAGCCTCACACCTCGCACAGCTGCACCCCAACCTGTACCCAGCCTGTACCCCTTGAGCTCGCCACTGGCACCCCATAAGCCCACGAGCTCACTGCTGCCACCTCACGAGCCCACCTCCCCGGCATCTCATGAGCCCACAAGCCCGCTGCTGGCACCTCACAAGCCCACGACTGGCACCCCAAGAGCCCACTGCTGTCATCCCACAAATCCACCCTGACATCCCGTGAGCCCATTAGCCCACAGCTGGCACCCCACAAGCCCAGCCCTGGCAACCCAGCGAAGCCGATGCCCCGGCTGTGGTAGAGCCGGCATCGGCACCAGTTCCCGTCCTCGGGGACGTAGAGCTGCATTTTATCTGGCTGACAGCGCTCTCGGGAACACTTCGGCTTTTAAGGCCAAGCTCTCTCATGCCAGCGGGAACACAGCCGGAGTAGCCCTGCGGCCGCCCCTGCCCCGGCCCCTTCTCTGCGGCTGCCCAAGGGGAGGGCAGGGACACCGTGAGCAGGGCAGGGACTCCCACGGGGAGGGCAGGGACCCTGTCCCCGCTGCCCGGGGCACCCGGAGCTGATTAGGGTGAGAGGGGTCATCGCCTTCTCAGAGGGTACTGAGACACCCAGCACTGCAGGAATGTCCTTGGCCGCAATGATGGGAAAGGGAAACGCGAGGGACAGGAATGCTGATGCTCGTCCAGCATTTGGGGGGTTTTCTCCGATCCTACTGGCCGGGGGGGCCTCAGCCCCAGCCCGCTGGTCTGATCCGTGGTCGGGCCGTGCAGGCAGGTGCCCGGCTCCGCTGCGGGAGTGGATGCGATCGCGCACTGCCGCCCCCTTTCCCTCCCCCGCGTCCTCCCGTCGCTCCCCCGCCCCGAGGCAGCTCCTCCTCATCCTCCTCGTCCCCGTTCCCTGTGTTCATCCCGGTTCTCCCCGCGCGCACTTGCGGAGCCGCAGCCGGGAGCGCCGCGCAGCCGCCGGTAGGTGCGGGGCGGGGGTGGGCAGCGGCGGGATCCGCACCCGGGACGAGGCGGGCGGCGGGGCTGAGCCCACGGGGGTCTCTGAAAGCCCCACGGGAGACTCACACGAACCCCTCGGATCCCCATGCATGCTCTGCCAGCTCCACGGATCCCCACTGGCAGCTCTGGGATCGCCAGGGCATGCTCGTACATGCTGCACCGAGCCCTACGGGATGCTCTGGGTTCCCCATGGGATGCTCTGCGAGCCCTATGGATCCCCATGGGAGGCTATAGGATCCTCACAGGATGCTCATATATGCCCCATGGATCCCTAAGGGTTGCTCTGCCACCCCCACGGATCCTCATGTGATGCTCTGCCAGCCCGATGGGGTGTTCTAACACACTCACAGATCCCAACTGGATGCTCTGCCAGCCCAACGGGATGCTTTAACACCCTCACGGATCCCTATGGGATCCTCTGCCACCCCCACGGAGCCTCACAGGATGCTCGGGTTCCCCATGGGATGCTCTGCCAGCCCCATGGACCTGCACAGGAGTCTCTGGGATCCCCACGGGATGCTAGTACATGCCACATGGATCCCCAGGAAGTGCTCTGCCACTCTCACAGATGCCCATGTGATGCTCTGCCAGCCCCATGGATCCCCATGGGATGCTTGGAGTGAGGGGGCAGAGGGAGGTTCCAGAGCACAGGTGTGGGGTGGGTAGTGGGGAGGCAGCAGGTCCCTTCTCCAGGGACAGTTTTAAGGAGTCAGTGTGCTGCTCCCCCCAACTGGGACAAACCCCCTCAAGCCCTGCAGGTGCCCCCAGACCCCGGGAGATAGGAGTGGTTCCGCAGCCAGGAGCATCATTCCAAATAACACTTTCCAAATTACTGCAAATTCACCTAAAGCTTCGGCCAGAAGCAGAAGCCCAGATCAGAATTTAAATTGAAATATACAT